GGCCTGGCTCGCTTGCGTCTCGCTGCGACCGACAGCGTGGTGGCGGCAGCTTGGCCTTCCTCTAGACGGCGCCCGCCGCGGACATGCCCCCAGCTCGCTGCGCGCTCCGCCCCCGCCACCCTCAGGCCTCCATCCGCGCCGGGCTCCGCCAGGTCTTCAGGGTTCCCAGAGCCAGCGCGCATGCGTGTGCCGTGGTACGCGGAGGGCCGGTGCTGTCTGCGCTCATTTGCTGCAGGCTTCGAGGACAGCGCGCTGACGTCACGATGACGCTTCCAGGGGCGGGGACAGGGCCCTGGGAGGAGCCGGTTGGTGGGGTGGGGCTGTTACACCCGGCACCTGTGCTCCGAGGTGTGGGTAGGACTTAAGACCCTGCGAGTGCCGAATTGTGGAGCTGGAGGCTGAACGCAGGCCCATGCACTAGCAAAGGGGTGAAAGGCAAAAAGGAAAAGTTCAACTTTGATGAATTTATTCGGAATTTTTATTTAAGTCTAGAAGGAACGTCTTGTATCCACCCTAATTTAAGTTTTAATTCGCTTCCTAAATGAATATCTATTTTTAATTACTTAAGGGGGTGGGGAGTGGGCACCATCATCTTTCCAGTCTTCCCCTTCCCCCGCCCGCCCCTCTCTGTCCGCCAGGCTGGAGTGCAGTGGTGCTACCTCCACCCACTGCAACCTCTGCCTCCCTGGTTCAAGCGATTGTCCTGCCTCAGCCTCCTGAGTAGCTGAGGTTACAAGTGCGCGCCACCACGCCCGGCTAGTTTTTGTATTTTTAGTAGAGACGGGGTTTCATCATGTTGGCTTGGCCAGTCTCGAACTCCTGGCCTCAGGTGGTCCACCCACCTCGGTCTCACAAAGTGGTTGGATTACAGGCATGAGCCACTGCGCCGGTTTCCATCTTTCCAGTCTTTAGAGGCTTGCAGAAGTCCTAATTCCTCCCTTACTCAGGATGGCGGCAGATGAGGAAATACAAGAACCTTCTATCCAGCACTTGGTCTTGGGAAGACGATGACACCTACCAGCGTCTAAGGGTGGCTCTTGGGAAATAACAAAGTTGTTCTTAAGAAATAACTTACTCTGTTCAGTTTGATCTACCACCCAGCATATGAGTCTTACAAAATAATGATAAAAGGGAAGGATGGCTTTATTTGAAGGGTTAAATATACCCAGTGACCACAAAGTCTGTTAAAAACTTATACAATCACATTGAAAATGGAGTGGCTTCATATTTTCATAATTTAAATTAATAGTTGAAATAAAAGTAATGCTTAAAAATACTTTTTTTTATGTTAACGTAACATCTTTATAAAAGTTTTCTAAAATGTGAGTCTATTAATGGTTATGCAGTAACAAATGTTTCAAAATTCAGAAAGAAAGTGCAAAGGATTACAAATGTTAATTGGAGACAGTAATGCTCTGTTGTCCAGGCTGGAGTGCAGTGGCACGATCTCAGCTCACTACAAACTCCCCACCTCCCAAGCTCAAGGGATTCTCCTGCCCCAGCATCCCAAGTAGCTGGGATTACAAGGCATGTGCCACCACACCTGGCTAATTTTTGTATTTAAAAATACTAAAGTAGAGACACAGTTTCACCATATTGCCCAGCCTAGTCTCCCTGAACTCGGGTAATCCACCTGCCTTGGCCTCCCAAAGTCCTGGGATTACAGGTATGAGCCACCATGCCAGGCCAAATGTGAATAATTTTTTTTACCCTGTCCCTAGCCAACTATGTTCCTCTCCAGACACAATATACCAATTCCTTGCCCGTTCCTATATCAATTCCAGATTTTCTATCTAATCTCTATTTTTCTAAGATGAGTGTTTAGAGGTTATGTATAAACTCTCATAGTAATAACTGTTTCTAATACTGTTCTCATATACACATGCACACAAGTTATACATGTTGTAATTCATTACATGTATTGATAGAGCTCTGAATGACCTAATTGATAAAGACCAAAATGTCATGGAGAAAAATAATCAGTTACATACTTTGCAATATCCTTGGAAGTAGAATAAACATTTTCAAATTAATGTCATGTGCAGAGGCTTGCTTGACTGTCTCCTAACTTGGTGAGTCTTAGAGTCTGTGTCATGAAGGTGCTGAACTTTAAACTCAATTGTGACCTTACAGGTGAGGAAACCGGGGAATCAGAGATATTAAGTAATCTTCACACACCCCATCCCCATGTCTCATGCCTTTATTTTATCAATATTTGTTTATGACTGTGACTGTAGTTTTTAAATATTATGCTAACATTTATTATTTAACATTTTTCAAATTGTTTTCCCAATTTGTCACCCTATTTGTTCCCTAGCTCTGTGAACTAGATGTCATTATTATCTTGCTATAAGAAATGAAGACATAGGCGGGGTGCAGTGGCTCATACCTGTAACCCCAGCACTTTGGGAGGCTGAGGCAGGTGAATCACAAGGTCAGGAGATTGAGATCATCCTGGCTAACACGGTGAAACCCCATCTCTACTAAAAATACACACAAAAAACTAGCTGGACGTGGTGGCACGTGCCTGTAGTCCCAGCTACTCGGGAGGCTGAGGCAGGAGAATCACCTGAATCTAAGAGGCAAATGTTGCAATGAGCCAAGATCACACTACTGCACTCCAGCCTGGGCGACAGAGGGAGTCTCTGTCTAAAAACAAACAAACAAAAAGAAAGAAATGAAGAAATAGACTCAAATTAATTTTCCTGTCCAGGGACACATAAATAGCAGTGCTGACGTTAACTCATTTATTTATTCCTTTTTTTTTTTTTTTCCAACAAATGTGTTAATTGCCTTCTACGTTTCTTTGCCCTGAGCTAAAGGCAGCAGAAACTAGAAGTATGGGCCTCTCATTCTCACTTCGCCACCTAGTAACTCTGTGACCTGTATGAAAAGTTATGTGAAGCCTCAATTGTAATATTTCTTACATTTCTTTTCTTTTCTTTTCTTTTCTTTTTTTGGAGATAGAGTCTGGCCCTGTCACCCAGGCTAGAGGGCAGTGATGTGATCATGGCTCATTGCAGCCTTGATCTCCTGGCCTCAAGTGATCCTCCCACCTCAGCCCCTCGAGTAGCTGGGAGAGCAGGCATGTGCCACCACACCTGGCTAATGTTTATTTTTATTTTTATTTTTTTTTTGAGACAGAGTCTCATCTGTCACCCAGGCTGGAGTGAAATGTCTTGATCTCGGCTCACTGCAACCTCTGTCTCCTGGGTTCAAGCAATTCTCCTGCTTCAGCTTCCCGAGTAGCTGGGATTACAGGCGAGCACTGCCACACCCAGCTAATTTTTGTGTTTTTAGTAGAGATGGGGTTTCACCATTTTGACCGGGCGAGTCTCAAACTCCTGACCTCAGGTGACCCACTCGCCTTGGCCTTCCAAAGTGCTATATTACAGGTGTGAACCATCATGCCTGGACATGATTTTTTAAATTTTTAATAGAGATGAGTTCTCACTACGTTGCCCACACTGGTCTTGATCTCCTGAGCTCAAGCATTATTTCTGCCTTGGCCTCCAAAGTGCTGGGATTACAGACATGGGTCACAAAACCTGGCAATTGTAATATTTATAAAATGGACATACGATCCATTTTACAGGATGATTGGAAGGAATAAATGAGATAAAGACTGAAAAATGCCTGGTATGTTGGATAAATGTATGTTGGTCATCTTTTCTACTCTTTATTGTCTTTAGAATAAATGTTTAGCTTTATACACTTTTCTTAGGACTTTCTTGACCTAACTTCTTTGCAGTGAGTTTCTTCCGTAGGTATCTTCCCAAACCATACAGCAATTTGAGCTGAAGGTTTTGGAATGTTTTTTATCAGAAGAAGACTAATTAATCACTGGGAATTAATAAGTAAAAGGCACCATCATGCTTGTTTAGTTATTCTGAAGAACTGTTGGTTAAGCATTTAAACTGCTTACATACATTTGTACACTGCTGATGGGAATGTAACATGGTGCAGCCACTCTGGAAAAGGGTGCAAAGCAGGCTTGCTATGCACTGGTTACCAGCTGAGTCTGGTAAGACAGAACACCCACATGTACAAGTTACATGAAGTGAATTTATTATTTATAGCTAGGCAACAAGGAACAACAGAAGCATAGGATTCATTGTGAGCCATCTCCCAAGACTCAGGAAAGCTGCCCCTGGAGAATAGAGACTCATTTGTGTGTGCCCCACTTGCACCACAGCTGAGTGACCCTGGAAAGCAGACCGTCTTGGGTTTTATATTCTGGAGGCAACATGACATGCTGGGCTAAAATGATGAAGGACATCCTGTTTCTAGGAGGGACTGGAAAAGAGCCTGGGCTGTTTCAGCCAGTCCCTCCTTATCTCAGGTTATTGCATTCCTAGCACATTCTACACTTATTCTTGAGAACTATTAATACAAGTGAGAAACTGGGGAGAATTCGATCAGTCCAAGTCACTGGGAACTGTCGTGTAAAGAGTATAGTTATTTTTTTTCAAAACTGAACATGCACTTACCGTACAACCTAGCAACTGCACTCTTAGACATTTATCTCAGTGAAATGAAAACATGTTCACACAAAAACCTGTACATAAAAGTTCATAGCAGTTTTATTTGTAAAACCCAGAAACTGAAAACAACCCAAATGTCCTTCAGCAGAAGAATGGTTAAACAAACTGTAGCACATCCATACCATGGAATACTACTCAGCAATAAAAAGTAATGAACTGTCGATGTATGTAATAACTTGGAAGAATCTCAAGGGGATTATGCTGAGTGGGGGAAAAAAAGACAATCTCAAAGGGTTACATCATACTGTATAATTGCATTTATTTTATTTTTATTTTTATTTTTTTAGAGACAGGGTCTCTTTCATCCCAGCTAGAATGCAGTGGTGTAACAGTGGCCCAGTGCAGTCTTGAGCTCCTGGCTCAAGTGCTTTTCCTGCCTCAGCCTCTGTGAGTAGCTGGGTGTTTGCCACCACACCTGGCTATTTTTTTTTTTTTCTTTTTGAGATGGGGTCCTGCTTGGTTGTCCAGGTTTATTTTGAACTCTTGGTTTCAAGTAATATGATTACATTTATATAACATTCTCAAAATGACAAAATTATAGAGATGGAAAACAGATGATTAGTCGCTGGGGTTGGGGGTGGTGGAGAGTAAGGGTGGTGTCTGCTTTTATGAAAGGGTAGCTCAAGGGAAACATGTAGTAGAAGTGTCCTGTGTCTTGACTATAGCAGTGGTCACACAAATCTACACATGAGATAAAATTGCATAAAAATTAGAGCATTTCTCTGAGCCTACTTTGGCTCAGACCACCCCACAAAATATAAAATAAAATTTAAAAATTAATATACATACCAACCCACACACAAAAGAATAGCACACACAAATTCATCCATCTGGTGACTTTTAAATAAGGTCCATTAATTATGTTAACTCGCTAAACTCCATGCTTTATTGTCTGAGACGGGAAGACTCAACTTGTTTTCCCAGTCATACTAACAAAGTTACTCCCTCATTATTTTCAAGGATGTTTCATAATCAATAAATGCTTGTAAATAAGGGCTTTGAAATGCGCAGTTCTACTCATCTATTAATCCTAAGTATATATACATATTTTTAATTGTTAACCTTTAGCAGCTACTCAATATATTTTTATTAGCCTCACATTTCCCAGTTAAATGCTTCGTTGAAAGTTTGTAATGTGTATTATGTTGATTTTAACTGACCTTTTAACTGCCTTGCCTAGTAGACTGTATGTTTTCTGAGGGCAGGAGGCATATCTGTTTTGTTCATGCCTGTATCCCCAGCATCTAGCCAGTCAGATTTTCTATAACTGCTTTTTGAAATGAATACATGAATTTACAAGTGCCAGACACTGCACCAAACTCTGTCATATATCATTGCATAGAACTTAATACAATAGTATCATCTTTTTGTTTTGTTTCGTTTTGTTTAAGACAAGGACTTGCTGTGTTGCCCAGGTTGGAATAGCTGGAACCCCTCCTTTTTAGAAAACCAATGAGAACACTACAATTAAGTGACTTGCTCAAAGTCATACAGCTATTAATAAGTAAAGCCTCAATTTGAAAGCAAGCCCAGGAAATGACTAACTACTGGATCTACTGCCTCTGCTGAAATTGGTATTCCCTATCTTTTAAAAAAGTTTCATAAAGTTGTTTTACTTTTTGAAATACTATTAATTTGTAAATGATTGTTATCTATAGTGATTTAGCATTTTAGTTGGGTGAGAAAATATATATTTTACTGATCAAAACTGAAAGACTAGATTGCCCACAGAATATGTTTATAGAGAAAATAAAGAAATTTCTTACTCTTTATGTTAAAAATCTAGTTTACATGTCAACAATGATTCAAGCCGCTATTGATCTAGAACCTCAAGGAAAAAGGGAAAGGCAGGTAGGGGCTTTTTTCACTTAATACAAGGTCTCCCTTATGATTCTATCATCATTCTAGTATTTATTCTTTTTACTCTTGGGATTCCTCTATTAATTCTGTTCTTTGTGCAAAACTGTCTTTGACTTAGAACTAGCTAGTTTTGCCTTTGTATTATTTGTTTCAGTCCCTGGATCCACGCTAAATATACTATAATTTGGTCTTAAAATAATAAGATGCTCTCCACTATGGAGATAGGGATATGATTCCTATAAATGGTCACCTTGTGCCTTTAGTGAGTTTTTTTATTTAAATATTTTATACAATAATTAAAGTGGTTTTTTTTCTTTTTACTGCTGGTTAACTTACAGAACACCTTTAGTGAATTTTCATATTCTTTCTTAATCACAGGAACCAGAATCCTGTTGCAGTTTTTGTATGTACATAGTTTTAATGCTCTCAATAGTTGTTCTCAAACTTGGAATCAAAATCCTATTATTGTTATTTTGGGGGAGTGGTTAAAAGCGAAGTGAAATGGATTTTGTGTAGCTGATTAGTGCTAAGTTAGTTTACAAAGAAACATCATAGAGTATGCACTGCTAGGAATCAATCTCTCTCTCTAGGGGCCCTATAGAGGTCTCTATAAAGTTATCTTCCCATCCCGTATCCTTTAAATCTTTTTGTTTTGTTGGGGAACAATTCAAGTTAAAAGAATACTCTGAAGTGACATTATTCAATGCTTTCCCATGCATGCTTAGGGTATTAATTAGCCAAGCAACTGCACCCAAATAAAACGTACATATATATGTATGCATGCGTATACGTATATGAGACCAGGTCTTGCTCTGTTGCCCAGCCTGGAGTGCAGTGGTATGAATATGGCTTACTGCAGCCTTAACCTCCTGGGTTCAAGCCATCCTCCAGCCTCAGCCTCCTGAGTAGCTGGGACCACAGGCATGCAACATAACACCCTGCTAATTTTGTTTATTTTTGGTAGAGACGAGGTCTCACTATGTTGCCCAGGCTGGTCTCCAATTCCTGGACTCAAGCAATCCTCCTGCCTTAGCTTCCCAAAATGCTTAGATTAAGGGTGTGAGCCACCATGCCCAGCTGAATGATGTATTTATTACTTCCCCAAAAAAGCATCAAAATTGTAATAATGGGGGAAAATACCAGAATTTGGTTGGACTTCCTTTTACTTATCTTACAGATTATTTTTGTTATTTTAAATTACTTTTAGTGGCAAAGATGGGAGTACCTCAGGATTTTCAGGGCCAAAGCCCTATAAAATTCATCTGAAAGCTCTGCCAGAACAACAGATTTGTGTTTTTTTCCTGAGGCCCTCATACAAATAAGAAAGATACTTTCTACTTCCTTCTTCACTACAAAGCCAGTCTCCAAGATCTTGGCGTGGTTTTATCATCTGGCTCTGACCTCTTCTGAAATTATTAATAAAGGATAAGATTGGGCTATCCTATTTGAATTAGCAGAATCACTCTAACACTCTATCATGACTCCTGTCTCTCCATTTAAAATCTTTTCAGTCTCTGAAAGTTCCCTTCTACCCAACGTTTAATGAGTGATGCCTGCAGTCCACCTTTGCTACTCAAAAGTGTGGACTCTGCACCAGCTCATTTATATCTCCTGGGATACTGTTAGAAATGCAGTATCTCAGGCCTCACCTACCGAATCTGAATCTGCATTTAAACAAGATCCCCAGGTGATTCACAGGCACGTTAAAGTTTTGAAAAGCACTGCTCCAGAAACAAAACAGAATATATACAGCTCACTCCTTTTACTGATTGATTAAAACCTCATATGTATTGTTTTCTCCGAGAAACTATGTCAGGATGCTCTCAACAATATGAAGAGAACAACTAAAACAAGCTTAAACAATATAGACATTTACTATGTAAAATAAAATGAAGTTCTAGGCTGTAATAACCCTAGGTTGTTGGGTCATCAGTACCATCAAGGACCCAAGTCTTTCTCATCCTTTTGCTCTGGTATTTTTAGCATATTAGCTTAGTCCCCCATAATCAAAACATGGTTGCCACAGTTCCAGGCATCACACCCAGATATGACAAATCCTGCAAAGAAGAAGGTCTGTTTCCTCCTACATATGTCTCTTCTTCTGATACTTTTCTCAGAAGCCCCCAGCAGATTTTCCAGAAGTGTATCATGTTCTAAGCCACAAACAAAAAATACAGAATTACCTTATCTGGCTTAGACTAAATATCATCTCCATGGTCCTAAAATACATGATACCTGACACCTAAACCAACCAATCAAGTCTCTCTCATCTCTTATCAAGAAGAAAGGTGGGCTGGGCACAATGTCTCACACTTATAATCCTAACACTTTGGAAGTCCGAGGTGGGAGGATTGCTTGGGGGTCAGGAGTTTGAGACCAACCTGGGCAACATGCAAGAAATAAAAAAAATAGCCAGGTGTGGTGGCACACACCTGTAGTCCCTAACTAATCAGGAGGCCTGAGTCAGGAGGATTACCTGAGCCCAAGAGTTCAAGAGTGTAGTAAGCTATGATCATACCACTGCACTCCCACCTTTGGTCTTTAATAAAAAAGTTAAAAATGAAAGAAGAAAGGTGAACAGTTGGATAGAGACAGGAGAGTTTTCTTCTAAGAAGACAACTGAAAATAACTTTATCTTCATGTTTAAACAGAAAAAGACCCAACTAAATCCTCTTCAAGGAATGGATTCTCTCTTATTTAATATATACCCACACTATAAGCATAACTAACTAAATATGTATATTTAATTAATGTTTAGCTTTAGTTTACTTTATTGTGTTCTATGCTTTATTCTAAACGAAATGCTGGTGTGTGCTTTACTTGGTAATCAATATACTTACATAAAAATTATTTGGGGCAGAGCTTGGCATAGTTCAATAACTGGGCCAACACTTCTTAACTAATCTGCCAGCTTCCAGACTTTCCTCCAGCGCCACTAGTTATAGAGTGACTTCAGATTATTCGTTTTCAATAAATAACTTGTTTGTCAAATGTGAATAGATTATGTTACTCTTCTGATTCAAATCCCTCAATGATGTTCTACTGTTAATTGAACAGAGTCTTAAGTTCCCTGACATAACATGTAAAGTCCTTCCGTGGGCCACAGACCATCTTTCCAGTCAATCCCATTACTTCCCTGTCAACCCCTTACTTTATCATCCCCCAAAGAGTCACTCCTTCCTCAGTAACTAAGTTTCTTACACTGCTAAAATATCTGGTTCCCCAGTAGAATGTGAATTCATTTAAGGCACATGTTGTCCTTGTTCATAGCACTGTGCCTTGGACAGTGACAGCAATCTGTAAACAAACAATGAACATGTATAGAGCAGGCATTGACAAACTTATATAGCAGGGGTCCCCAACCTCCAGGCCATGGATCAATATCATTTGGTATCACACAGCAGGAGGTGTTGGGCAAGCAAGTGAAGCTTCCTCTGAATTTACAGCCACTCCTCATCGTTCACATTGCCTCCTGAGCTCCACCTCCCCTCAGATCCGCAGTAGCATTACATTCTCATAGGCTCACGAACCCTATTGTGACCTGCACATGAAAGGGATCTAGGTTGTGTGCTCCTTATGAGAATTTAGCCTAATGAACTGCCACTGTCTACCTGATGATCTGTCACTGTCTCCCATGACCTCCAGATGGGACCATGTAGTTGCAGGAAAACAAGCTCAGGGCTTCCACTGATCCTGCATTATGGTGAGCTGTATAATTATTTAATTATATATTGCAATGTAGTAATAATATAAATAAAGTCCACAATAAATGTAATGCACTTGAATCATCCCCAAACCCTCCACCCGCAACCCAGGGTCTGTGGAAAAATTTTCTTTTCATGAAACCAGTCCCTGGTACCAGAAAATTGGTGACCACTATTCCATAGAGAATCAGTGCATAAATATTTTCAGCTTTGCAGGCCATAAGATCTCTTACAACTACTCAACTCTGCCATTATAGCATGCAAACAATCACAGAGAACACAAAATAGAGTAATATGACTGCATTTCAACAAAACTTTTTTTTTTTTTTTTTGGATGGGGTCTCACTGTGTTACCCAGGCTGGAGTACAATGGCATAATCCTGGCTCACTGCAGCCTCAACCTCCCAGGTCCAGGCAATGCTCCTACTCAGCCTCCTGAGTAGGAGGACCACAGGCATGCACCAACATGCTCAGCTAACTTTGTATATTTTTTATAAAGACAGGGTTTTGCCATGCTGCCAAGGCTGGTCTCGATTTCCTGGACTCAAGTGATCTGCTCGCCTCTGCCTCTCAAAGAGCTGGAATTATAGGCGTGAGCCACTGTGCCCGGCCAACAGAACTAAAAAACAAACAAACAAACAAAAAACAAAAAAAAAAACAAAACAGGTAACTGGTTGATTTGACCAACAGGGCATAATTTGCTGACCCTAACACAGATGAATAAACATGAATGCTACTGTAAATGACTTTCTCTTGTTTTTCCATACCACCTTGAGGCCCTTGTAGGCCTCAAACATCACGTCTAGGTCATTCATTACTAATATATCTACCAGATCATAGTTCCCCAGTGTCTGGGCCTATTGGCCCCTCCCCTGGTTCTTTCAAAAAAAGTGTAGTAGGAGAGTATACAACCAAGAGCCATAGCAGGATATTTCCCACATACCAGAGAGTCTGAAAGTTCACCCTAAATTTTGTAGTGTAGGCACCCACCTACAACCCCTTATGCGGTTGGAATCATTTCTCTTCTTCTGAACATCAATTACCTAAAACTCTAGATTTAAAATGTAAAACCTCGAAGCTGGAACCATGGATTGGAAAGTATCAGAATTTTATCTTCCTAAAATCTCTAGAAAAGTCAATGTTTCTTGGTGGGGGCGCCAGGAGGTGATGTTTCTTTCTTGTGTTTGAGGTTTCCACCCACAGAATGGGAGTCAGTCAAGCAACAGTCCTTGACTTCCTCTATTCTTTACTCATTCTGTTTGGGAAAGGTAGAGCAAGTTGTCTGATTGGTACATTTGGAAAGAATAAACTGGGCTTGCTTGGCTCAGCCCCTGACCTTTTTTTTCCTCTTGAGATTACATTTGCTAACATCAAGCACAATTTCTTCTCTTTACTCAGTCCATAAAATTATTCCTAGTTAGAAAAGTTGTCCTCATTTGGTGCTGCCTATCATGATGTGAGTAAGTCTGACTATTTCTGGATAGAGTTAGGAGGCTCATTTTACTCTCACATTAACATATCTCTTTCAGTGTAGCTTCATTGCCTGTGACTAAGCGGACATTTTGGCCACTGTCTGTTTCTTCTTTGTTTTACTGTTTAATCTCTTCTGAGCCCAGTGGGAAAGAAGGGAGAATACTAAAGATATCTTCTTATATTTGGTATTCTTGATGCCCTGGCATCTGCAGCCTCACTGGCCAGGGAGAGATTGACTCTCACAGGGCTAGTTAGCTCCTAGAGATAGTCAACAACTCCTCTGTGCCTTTCATTTGTGAACTGAACAGTCCAGAGCTCATATCCCCCAATCACCTCCTTTATCTAACTCATATACAAGCCAACATTCCCCTGCCCTAGTCAACCTAGGGCCAGGTGCCGGGCAACTCAGGACAGCCCCTACGACCACAAGGACAACTGAAATTATTAAAACTAACCAATCCTACATCTGCCTTGCCTTGTCTTTTTTCTTTCCTTGTTCTTTTCCTTGTTTTCCCTTTCCTTCCCTTGCTCCCTTTCTTTCCTTGCCTTGCCTCTCCTCTACCTTCCCCTCCCCTTCTCTTTCCTGTAGAAACTATGGTAAAGGCTCATGTCCATGGTTTCCTCTTGCTTCTTTTGCCTCCTCACCAACACTGTGCTTCCCTGTGTGGCCCTGTGTGTCACGTTGTGCCCCCTCCCTTTGGGGAACTGTGAGTAACAAGCTGTCTCTTCAATGGCAGTCATCTCATGATCTGCTGGCCTCACCATACCTCAATAATAGCATCTACATTTTAAAACAAGCAGCTGTTACTGAGCCCCTCCAAAGGCCCAACAGATATCATGTTCCCCCTCTTTCGTAATGTGTTTCTTTTAAAATCAGGAAGATGGGACAGAATTACCTAAATATCTGGGTCCTGATTAGCAATAATTTGGCCATGTTTCATTTGTTTTTGAGATTCTTACAGCTGATTTCTTAAATAAAAGTAACTTATCTTAAGAATTTATCAATCTGCATCTTAAGTATGAAACATTCTTAAACTAAGAGAAATGTGATTCGTGGTCCAAGCTCTCAGTAAACTTATGGCACATTGGGAAAGCAAAACTAGAAAATGTTAAATAGTTAAGACAGTTTAGTGTTTAATCAGTACAGATTAAGTAGCATGCAATGGGAATTAAACAAAGGAAAGAACAGTTTGAGAGTGGCATGACAGCTAGATCTCGAAGAGGAATTTAACTCGAAGAAGCAAAGAGTTACTCTTTGCAATTTAACTGGAAGAAGCAAAGGAGTACTCTTTGCAAACCAGTTCAGACTGGTTTGAATTGGAGTACTCTTTGCAAACCAATTCAACATAGCAAGATCTATCTGTGCCTGATAGATCTAGAGGCTCATATCATATCATCATCAGAAACTTGTCACTTGCTATTTCTTGGCTTTCCCAAACACTATTCTTTTCTAAAAATTCTAACAGAAGTTCTAGGGCTCTGATTGAACCAAGTTGGATCTTGTGCCCTTCATTGACTCAAGTGCTGTGACCAAGGGACTGAGGTGCTCTGATTGGCCAGGTTTGGGTCACATGCTACCCTAGAGCTGGCTGTGGAGTCAGCCATATCCAAATTTATGGACTCAAAGTAAGAGTCTGATAGTTCCCCCCAAAATTCTGAGAAATATTACCAAAGGCTAAAACTTACTCTGGACACCAAAATACAACAATTTTTGGTGTAGTAGGAGAATAACAACATGAGCAAGGAGGAAAGAAAAACAAAGACTTGTCTGATTATAACCATGTGAAGAAGCAAGAGAAGTCATATTCAATAATTCGGGTGGTATAAAACTATTAGGAACTTTAAAATTCAGACCGAAAGTTTGGATAAGTCACTAAGCAATGGTGATTCTTTTTTAGATTCTTAAGCACTGAGTCATATGATGAAAGTATTATAGAATGATTCATTAGACAAGAGCCAGGGGATTAATTGTTGTCAGGAAGATCAGATGAGAAAATTGTTTTAAGAATCCTGAAATGGCATGATAAAGGTTTAGGCTAGACAATAATAGCAAAGGGAAGAGATTAAGAGAAAAATCCAGATTATATTTTTGAAGAAAAGACAAAGTTGAATATAGGGGACGAAGAAGGGGAAAAATCAAAAGGGATGCCTGAGGCTGTATCTAGAGTTACAAAGGTATTACTATTAGAAATTTATAAGGAGAGTAGACTTCTCCTTCTTCCATGCCTCCTGCCCCACAAGCCTGCTCTCTTATCCTCCAATTTCTATCAAATCTAGCAGACTGAATTAAGACTGCTAGGGGTTCTAATGATTGAAAGGTTATAGCCTCCCACCTCCACCACTGTATGTGATTCCAAATAAAAATATTAATTGTCAGGTCCGGTGTGGTGGCTCATGGCTATATACCCAACCCTTTGGGAGTCTGAGGTGAGAGGATCACTTGAGCCCAGCAGTTCAAGACCAGCCCATGCAACATAGCAAGATTTCATCTCTACAAAAAGTTATAAAATTAGCTGGGCACTGTGGCATGCACCTGTAATCCTAGCTACTTGGGAGACTGAGGTGGCAGTATCCCTTGAGCCCAGGAGTTTGAGGTTACAGTGGGTTCTGATGGCATCCCTGAACTCCAGCCTGGGTGGCAGAGTGAGATTCTGCCTCTAAAAACAACAACAACAACAACAAAATTATGGTCAGAGAAGTCCAACAGGCATGATTTCTCACATGATGCTACCATAATGCTTTGCTTACAGTTGCATATATGATGTTTTATAATTTGTTTCTAACTAGGAATTGACTTGCTGCTGATATCCTAGTTTATGTTTAGTCTATGTAATCCATCACTACTTTTTTTGTTGTTGTTGAGACAGAGTCTTGCTCTGTTGCCCAGGCTGGAGTGAAGTGGTGTGACCTCGGCTTACTGCAACCGCTGCCTCCTGGATTCAAGTGATTCTCCTGCCTCACCCTCCCAAGTAGCTGGGACTACAGGTAGGTGCCACTACATCTGGCTAATTTTTGTATTTTCAGTAGAGACAGATTTTCACTGTGTTGGCCAGGCTGGTCTCAAATTCCTGACCTCAGGTGATCCTCCTGCCTCGGGCTCTCAAAGGGCTGGGATTATAGGCCTGAGCCACCACACCCCGCCCAATCACTACTTTTATTGTCATTATTTTTCACTCACAGGTTGGAAACATGTTTTTAAACTATAGACGTTCCGTGTGTGTGTGTGTGTGTGTGTGTGTGTGTGTGTGTGTTTATATGTGTTAATGCAACTTTTAAAATGGTGCTTGAATACAACTGAATTTTTTTTTTTTGAGACATGGTCTCATGCCCATCACTCAGGCTAGAGTGCAGTGGTGTGATCATGGCCGACTCCAGCCTCAACTTCCCAGGCTCAGGTGATCCTCCCACCTCAGCCTCCCAAGTAGCTTCCC